GTTTTTTATGACTTAACCATGGACATCAGATGCCCAAAGAAGAATGCAAAAGAAGCAGCCCTCATGAGATCTAGAAAGTTCACTCTCAAAAATAGTCTAAGAAAGCAAAAGCCTGTGTTGCACAGGCAGTAATGATGCTCTACTTTCCCATGGAAACGTAGGATGTCTCCATTCACAAACCCACTAATTTGTGACACTGGACGAGTGCAACTGGAATAGGACTTTTCCAGCACTAACAAAGCAAGGAATGTTGAGACAACAAAAGCCGCTTATAATCTGGGACCTCTTATGACAAATTTCCCTGAGCTAGCACAGTCAGACAAAGAGCTCTGTGTCTTGGAATCACAGTCTATTAAGCTGGCCGCCAAGATGCACACCAGTATGTTCATCCTCTGGCTGGCAAAGATCAGAGAGAACATTTTCATTAGTCATAAAGCCAAGCTCTCAAGACATAGAATAAGACAATGATACAACAGAGAGCAACAAAGAAACACAGTGACCATCTCTGGGAGAAAAAGGATCAATAAAGTCAAGAGTACTCTGCCAAATTTATCAGAGTTGCTAAGTTCATGAAACTAGTTTCACAAATATTTCCTTCAACACTCGCTTCCATTAGACTGTGCAGGCGGGAGTCTGCCTGCAGGGAGACTGACATGGTAAGAACTCTTACGTCCTGCCAGCTTTTGTAATTGGTCCAAGATCTCTCAGCGGCAGTAGCCCCAGAGCCAAGGGTATCCAGCTAGTTAAGTTTGTCCCATATGGGTCACCAACTATAGGAGAGGAAGAAATTTTCCCCCCTTCTTGGTTCTTCTGGCTGATCTAACAATTAAATTGACAGGAGACAGATGAACATGAGAAAAATCACACAAAGTTTAATCACATGTATACATGGGAGAAACTCAGGAAAACTAAATAACTTACCAAAATCTCAGAGGCCATCACCTGAAGTACTATCTTCAGCTAAAGACCAAAGAGGATGTTGGAGGTAGTGGTTTGAGACTTCAAAGGGAGGAGGGCAATTGACATGGAAATAGAAAAGCAAATGTTTGATAAACAAATGTTTGCCATGCCTTGCAGAGATGATAAGACATGGAGAGTACTCTGATCTCTAGGCCCTGTCCAGTCTTCCCCACCCATATTCTTTGTAGATATCTCTGGTGATAGCTCTATTCTTATTACAGGCCATTTTCCTAAATTCTATTAGGCAGTTAAAGGGGAAGTAACGAAAAAACTTTGAGTCTTTTGTTTCTTAATAATAATCTAAATGATGTACACCTGAAATTTTTACAATGTTATAAACCAATGTTACTGCAATAAACAAAAAATTAAAAAAAAATAATCTAAAAAATTTTCATGTTAAAGAGACACATGTTGGGGTGGCAAATTTTGTTCTCATTCAGTATATAGTATATACACTATACACTACCCATAGGCACACACACACATACATATATATTAGTATAAAAAATATATATATAAAGAGATTTATTGCAAGGAACTGACTCACACGATTGTGGAGTTGAGGAGTGAAATGTATAGGGCAGGCCACCAGCAGGCTGGAAACTCAAGCAGGAGTTGATGCTGCAGGCTTAAAGCAGAAGTTCTTCCCCAGGAAGCCTCCATTTTTGCTTTGAAGGCCTTAACTGATTGGATGCGACGCACTCATTATTGAGGACAATCTCCTTTACTTAAAGTCAACCTAGTGTCCACATCTACAAAATATCTTTAGAGCGACATGTAGATTAGTGTTTGATTAAATAACTGAGTACCATACCCTATCCAAGTTGACACATAAAACTTACCATCACAGATGTGTAGATTAATGGTTTTCATCAAATTTGGGAAATTTTAAGCCACCATTTCTTTGAATAATTTTTCTATTCCTTTCTCTCTCTATTCTCCTTCTGATACTTTCATTGTGCATATGTTGTTGATGTGCTTAATGTTGCCTCACATTTCTTTCAGGCACTGGTCATTTTTTTTTCATTCTTTCTTAATTTTCTTCAGATGGCATAAATCTATCAACTTAAATTTAAAATTTTCTGATTCCTTTTTTGACCTAGTGTTGAGAATCTCTAGTAATTTTTATGTTTAAGTTATAATTTCTACCTCCATAATTTCCATTTGGTTCTTTTTAATAATTTGTTTCTCTTTATTGATATTTGCTACTTGACAAGATGTTGTTATCATACATTCCTGTACTTTCTAAGCATGGTTTCTTTTAGTTCTTTGAGCATATTTATAACGGCTACTTTGAAGTCTTTGTTAAATGTGACATCTCGGCTGTCTCATAGGAAGTATCTTTTCTCCCTTGGCTTTATTGAGGTAAAATTGATAATAAAAATTATACATACATTTAAGCGATACCATGTGATCATTTGATATATGTATACATTGTGAAATGATGACCACAATCAAGCGATTAACACATCCATCAACTTACACAGTTACTTCTTTTAGTGGTAAGAACACGTAAGATTCACTGTCTTAGTGAATTTCAAGTCTACAATACAGTGTTATTAACTATAGTCACCATGCTGTACATTAGCTCTACAGAACTTAGTCATTTTATAACTGAAAGCTTATACCCTTTGACGCACATCTCTGCATCCATTCTCACCCGCCAATCGCAGGCAGTTTCTATTGCCTGTTTTTTCTTTCTGTGTATGGGTTGTACTTTTCTGTTTCTTTCATGTCTCATAATTTTTGGTTAAAAATTGGACATTTTAGGTAAATTATTGTAGCAGCTGTGGATATTGATTTGTACTCTTTCACTCCACCTCCCACAACTTGTTGTTGTTGTTGTTGTTTTCTTGTTTATTTGTTTAGTGATGTGGCTGGACTGTTTTAGTGAAATCTATTTCCCATGCAGTGTAAATGTCTGATGTCCCTGCGCAGAGGGCATAGCCTTGTGCATGCTCACAGTCTTCCTGGGATGAGAGTGTTTTACCAGACCTCTATAGACTTTCTCTTTCCGTGATCTCTATGTTAACTGTCTGCATCTGTTGGTATCACACCAAGCTATCAGGATCCTCTAATTACTGGATGATGACTCTATTGTTTTCAACACTGTCCTGGGGCATAAAAGGCTTCACAGTCTGATCCAATTAATTTCAGGCCCCTTTGCAAAGGTACGTTTCTCTGGCCAGTCTGTCATGTTTGTTCTGCCCTCAGTAGGGTTTTTCTTAGCTGTTTCTTTCTCTGGCTCTCTCTGGTAAACTAGCTGACCTACTGTTTAACTTGCTGTTCGCATGGAGATAAGAGCCTCCTCTTTATTTCTTACTGTCAAAATCTCCACTGTTTTTTAAAATTTTTTTTTGCTGAGAAAGACTTGCCCTGAGCTAACATCCACTGCCAATCTTCCTCTTTTTTTTTTTTTTGCTTGAGGAAGATTAGCCCTGAGCTATCATCTGTGCCGATCTTCCTCTATTTTGTATGTGGGTCACCACCATAGCGTGGTGTAAGTCAGTGCCCGGGATCCCGGGATCTGAACCTGCAACCCTGGGCTGCCCACGTGGAGCACTGAACTTAACTACTACTCCACGGAGCCAGTACCTTCCATTGTTTGTGAGGGTGTCCTTAGGCTTGAACATACCTACACTTTGTTTTGAATAAAGTTAGTTCCTTTGGGAGATTTTCAGATTCTCATGTTCTCATGGACTGCCTTTCTCCCTGGGAAGTTCTCTAAGCCACTGCCCCAGAGCTTATGGCTGGGGCAGAGGCCTATTTACCTCAGAGTTGCATCCCTGCATTATGAGCAAGGTACTGGGCTGAGGCAGTAGCCTCTGGTCTTCTTGGCTTGCCTATCCTGGTGTGCAATCTCCGCTCTACAAATAGCTGGAGTGAGGGTCATGGGGACTCGATATTTTCAGCCTGCCGTGTCTGGGTTAGAGGCTTTGCTCTCTAAGTAGGGGCTGGATGGAGGAAGGGAGCTTGCCAATATTGGCCACACTTGCCAGGAATTTAGCCTTGCAACTTGGAGCTGGGGTGGTTGAGAAATGCTAGTGGTCTGACTTCCCAGTAGATACACATATCCCTTGACTGGGAGCTATAGGGGAAAGGATGCCCCATGTTCTTGTCCAAACCTACCCAGAGTGGAAGTTCTTTCATGCTGAGCTGGGAGGAGAAGGGAGGAAGTAACTGAGTCATGGCTCAGGTGCCTCATTGTTCTTACTGAGATTTAGTAGATTTTCTGGAATAGATGTTTCTTCATTTGCAGTATGCCCTTAGGACAATTTCCAGAGACTTTAAATGATTGTTTAAAAGCTATTTTTCGCCCATTATGGTTGTTTCACTGGATGGGGTAGAGGTGGGTCTGCAAATCTCCTCATGACACCATTCTGGAATGGGAATACTTCAGTGGCTGTAATCTAGCATCCAGAATAGACAAGAACATTTTATTGAAAAAGAAATGATGAGATTAAAAAAAAAAAAAAACAACTGTTAGTTACTTGTAGCATAGATCTTAAAGATTTGGGGAATAATCTCTGCTCCTGCTTGCCAAAACATGACAAAACAAATGTATATGTGTTTTATTTCCAGGAAATGAGACAATACTACCACCAAAATCTATTTGTGTTCTGGCCTGCACTTCACAAAAGTCTGAGTGTGTGTTTATTTCCTTGTGTTTATTTTAACAGGAGACCTTCTTTAATCTGAATATCTTTATTCACACCATACTTCCGCAGTTTCCTTAAATATGGCAAACCTCTATAGATGATGGCACATTCACTAACTCACTTGAATTTCCCAAATCCTTATACTATGTAAGTCAGACTTTTTCTGCCATTTTAAAAATGTGAAATTGAGACAGAAAAGAGCCAGCTCTTCTTATATGGCTCAGTTCCCTCAGTATGGCCAGTCGAGGTGAGCAGGGCCAGTAATGTTGAGAGGAATGCAGGGCCCTGGCTCCTTCAGGCAGTCTGCTTCCTCTGTGTCCTGGGGAAGTGCAGTGCTTTGCCTGGAGTTATAAAGCTTGGATATTCAGAGGCTGTTATTATCTACAGTTCTGTCCTGCCTTCTGCCAATTTTGAGGGCTGAGGCCAAACCCAGAGATGGGTAGGCACCTCCTGCTGCCACTGCTGGTTATCCTGTCCTCACTGCTGGGCTTCCTGCAAGGTGAGCTGGGGGAGAATATAGGAGGGCAGTGGGACTGAGGAGAACCTGGGTGAGTGGTAGTTTATATTTCCAGGCATCACCTCTCTCTTTGAATCCATATCTGCCTGCCTTGTCCTTAGAATGTACGACTGGTGAGATTACCAGATAAGTTACGATTGATTCCGGACATTATCCTTTTCTAGGGATACATTTCAATGTCTTTCTGATTCTAATTTGTTTTTCATAATTTCAACTAGTTAAACACTTTTGAAAGGTAAGGTGTTTTGGTACTCTATTTGTTGAATACTTTAAGATTTGAAGTTATCCTGTAGAAATAGGATAGGCCCTCACCAAAATTTGATTCAGATTCAAGACTGATGATGCCAAGACTTGACCTGCACCAAGAGGGTATGAAAAAGTTTATTCCTTACCTGCTGAAGCTATCTGGGGAGAGCAGGGCTTGCTTCCAGGGTAATCTTAAAATGGCTTGAGGGAGCAGGGAAAGGAGACTGGCTTGGGATTCATACGGCAGTGAGGAAGAGAGGCAGGGTGAGGGTTCCTGCATGCAGGCAGGGGCTTGTATGGTTTGAAACTCCCACCAGTGGTGAAGGAGGGAGCTCCTGGGGTCCATATGCAGGGAGAAGGGGTGAGACGTAAAAGCTGTCAGCTATCAAACGTCAAAAAAATGGAGTCGGCCACTTAATTACATGAATAAAAATTAGGGGAAAAATTAGGGGTTACAAATATTTAATACCATTGTAGGACACTTAGATTGAATCACAAAATAATTCCTCAAAGGCTTAACCATTTTCAAACTCTGGTTGATGAGAGGCAGCAGGGAGAAAGCTTGCCGAAGAGTACTTTTTATTCCACATCACCTTCTTCACTCACTTTTATAGTCATTCTATTCGTGTGTGTGTATACATACATTCATGTATACAAATATGTAAAATCATTTATACCTGATATATATGTATATACATATGTGTGTGTATACACACACACACACACACACACACTCACACACTGTCGCACTTGTTTGGACACAATTAGGACACAATTAAGAATTATGTATTCACCACTACCAATTATAAGTGTATTTCGGTTCCATAAATTCTCGGTTGAGTAAGAACTTTGTTTTTGCTGCAATGTTATGCTCTACCAGCATTTTTGTTTATATATTATCAATGCAAAAATTAATGATTTTATGCTCAATGTGCACTTTTTAAACTGAATTTATATAGCATTCAAAAAGTCAGATGTTTCACCTTCTACAGAACACATTTCCACAGCTTTTATTTGATACCATGGATTGATTGAAAAATGGGACGATGACTGGCATTAACTGGCATCATTTGCTTGCAACGTTCTTCTTCTGCAAATGGAATCAGCCTACCAATAGTCAGCATTTCTTTGTTTCTCTATGCACAGGAAGACTTGGTTTCTGCCACATAATTGTGTTCTGACACTTACCTGATCTAAGTGAAAATTCATCATCCTGGCTGGTATTCCCCTGGAAGGTGACTCTGAGAGAAAGATATGAGTAAAAATTATCTGTCTGGAAGGTGGTCCCAGGAAATGCCAGTTTGGGGAGTGAGGAAGGAAGACAGGGAAGGGGAGGAAGCTGATAAAGGATGGGTCATGGAGCTAGACACCATGGTGGGCAAATGGAGCTTAATCCTGTGGGGAAATTCTGAGGACAGGGCAGAGCCGGCCTCAAGCTACTCCAACTAAAGGGTGAGAAGGTTGGAGTATTATCCACCAGTATCCCCACTGTTCTTGGGAGGGGGATGCTCCCAGGGGCCTTTGCCCCCCAGTATTCCAGCTTGTCCTGGGTGCGAGCGAGTGTGCTCCCACCTTCCTTGTGGAGTTGCGGGTGTTTGCAGGAGCACCTGCAGCACCTGGAGGTGAAGGGGAGGGGTCCAGGGAGGGGTACTCATTGCATCTGCTTCAGTCTGTGATACACGAAGCACCTACTGCAGCAGCACATGGTAAGTCATCTTTGCGCACAGTTTTCTTAAAATAACTACTCACTCTTAAAATAGCCGCTGGAATCCTTAAGCAGACTTGTGTCTTCAGGAGGTTTCCTGTGATCAGTGATGGCGCAGGCCCATGGGGGATGGTAAACGTTGACAAATGGTTTGTAGAGTTATATAGTCATCATTAACTTGTGGGAAGAGGATTTGAATGATCAGTTTTTTATTGAGCCTGCACTTTTCTAAGTTCATTCCTGTTGAAAGGTTTATCACAACATAAAAAAACATTAGTAAATCATAATGTAAGTGTATGGGCTCAGATTTACACTCCACAAAAAGTGATGAAACTGGGGCGAGAACGTTAGACTCCCTTCTCCTTGCTCTGTTGTAGATTCTCAGCCTCTGTTTCCTGCATACATAGTTCATTTATACCTGATCTACAATTTCTCACATTTTGCATTGACTCCTGTGACAGGTGGCTTTATTCCCACATTCTGTCTCCACCATCTCTTACCTGGGCCTCTTGTACTCTTTAAAATCCATTGTCTGCACAAATGCCAGAGCATACTTGCAAATCATAAACGAGTTAACGTCATTCTGTATTTAAAAACCTCCCATGGTTTCCTCCAACTGAGAATAAAATTCCGTTTCTTCTGAAGGCCTGGAACTATCCTGTCCAACTACAATATGAGGCAAGCTACACATGTAATTTTAAGTTTTTGAGCAGGCATATTTAATAAAAAAGAAACATGTAAAATTAATTTTATTAATATATTTTATTTAAACCAATATTTCTAAAATATTATCATTTCAACGTGTAATCAGCATATAACTTACTGATTAGCAGTTAAAAGAATGTTTTACTGCATTTGAAATGTTTTAAGTGTTTGAAATCCCCTTACATCCCATCTATTGTGACTAGTAACATGTCACATCCTTGATAGCAACATAAGGCTGGTGGCTGCCATATTGGAAATGCAGGTCTAAGAGATGCTCTAGGGTCTGGCCTCTACTGACCTCTTCCATCTCACTGTCTAACAATTTCATCCATCTTCACTTTCCTCCACCTGTGGTGTTGTTCTTTTTCCTTGAACTGAATAAGCTGATTCCTTCTCAGAACCTTTGCACTTGCCCCTAGATCTTCCTGGAACCAGTTTCCCAACTTCTCTCAGTTATTTAAATAGTCACCTTTTTATTTTTTTTTTTCGTAAAATCAATCAACTCTGAGTTTAAGTAACCTCTCAGAGAACTTTTCTGAGCACCCTATCTAAAGTAACAGCCCCACTACCTCACCCACTATCTCTATCACGTGTACTCAGTCTTCCATTCTTCATAAGTCACCAAGATCTGAAATAATCTTTCTCATGTGCTCATTGTCAGTCATTCTCCCCGTTTATTTGTTTAGTGTTTAAGTAAACAAGTGAAATGTATGTTTCATTCCTCCCTTCATCATCTACTCCTAAGCCCTGGAATAGTTCCTAGAACACAACAGGTGCTCAATTCTTGCTGAATCTCTGCACGGGCGAGCTGGCTGTTCACCCCAAGGCTGTGGAACAGAGAGGAGCTGCAGCTCCAGGGCAAATATTTGTAGGTGATGTCCAAAGCTCCCTCCCTCCCTCTTCTCCTTTCTTCTTTTTTCCTCAATCTTCCACTGTCTGTCTCACTCTGTTCCTTCTGATCTTCTCTTTTACTTCCCATCCTCCCTTCCCTCACCCCTTCCTTTCTCTCCCTTCCCCCCAGCTTCCTTTCTCTCCCTTCCCCATCCCCATCAGTGTCCTTTTTCGGTTGAGTCCTGGGGTTCTCCAAAGGAGCCCTGCTTTTGGGATGAAAAGGGAGAGTGGAGGATGCCAGCTGTGTTTGGAGGAGGGTGAGGAGGGGCTTTGTGGTGCTGAGGGAAGGACAGAGTGGGCATGGGCACTTCTGATTCTTTGCACAACACCAACAATTCACTTGTTGTTCTCCTGCCAATGCAATTCACATGTAACATATTTTGAAGGGTGTCCTCTTGTGTTGTGCCACAAGACAGTCCTGGGGTGGGAGGATAATCAGTTGGTAAGTGGGGTCAGGCAGAGAGCGGTGTAACACATGACCTTCTTCCACCAGCAGCGTACTCCATCCCTGGAGGTCAAGGGAGATCCTGTCTGTACTTGAGCACAGACCCTGAAGCCAGAGACATGCATGTCTCCTCCCAGGATTAAGCCAAGCACTGAGAAATCACACCAGGATTTCAGCACATTCAGCAGGCAGTGGGAACTGGTCATTGTCCAGGTTGAGTCTGGGCCAGAGGGTGTGCTTCCTCATCTGACAAGCAGGATGGCTGGGCCACAAGAGCCTCATTATGTTGTTTTTGACTTTGCAGCTCTAATATGTTTCGAGTGTGATCGAATCAATGCCAGTGGGGTTTGTGTGAGTGGGGAAAGCTTCTGCCAGACTCAAGGCAGCCAGCAGTGCTATGTGAGGAAGGTCTATGAAGGTAGGTGCATCCTGAGAAGTCTCCTGGGGTGACCTTTGCCTGAGGGTAGGGTTGACAGCCTGTATTCAAGGTGGAGGGTGGTATGAACCACCCATGGGACCGCCTGGGAGCCTGGGCCAATGACATGGCAGTGTGGCTGTAGATCTAGGAAGGTGGCCCCTCAGGATCTCTGGGGGTACAAGCACATAGGCAGGGAGCTGGTTTTCTTTTTTTACCTAAACTAGTGAAGCAGTATCAGCTGGTTCTGGGCTGCCGTCGGCCCTTAACTGGGCTGGTGACCTGTAAAACGAGAAGCAGCGATCTTCTGTTTAGCACCTGAGGGTGACTGGAATTGGGCTGCTCAAATTCCCCTGAGTGGGACCTGAGTTTGGTGAAGTTTTTGGGAACTGAAGACAGAAGTTGGAGGAGAGGGTTGGAGAGGGTGCGCAGGGTAACATCTATTCCTCCCTATCTGCCCTCTCTTGTGTGGGGAGGTGAATCGAACCCTAAGATACAGAACCTCCAGAGCTATCTTAGGAAAGCCCACCAGGGGGTCCTACTTCAAGCCTCTCAATCCCAGGAGGCAGATAGTCAACCATACCCAAGAGCATGAATTCTTAATGGAATGTGCCTTTTTCTCCTCATTCTTTGATTAATTTGTTGATGCTTTGATCCACTGCTTCATCCAGCAATATTTATTGAGCTCTGCGAGCCAGGATGTGCTAGACCCCACACCCCAGGTCTGCAACATGGGCTTCTGGGGTCTCACTTGTCCTCTTTTCTGCCTCTCTACAGACGACACAGTTTCACATGGATACCAGGGTTGTAGCAGCATATGTATTGATATGTGGCTTTTTAGTCACCATGTTGCTGTGGATTTGAAATGCTGTCATGACTCTTCTTTCTGCAACAAGTTCTAACGACAGGGCCCAGCTTCTGCCCTGATCTGGTGGATAAAGCTGATTCGGCACACCTTTCATCTATCATAATCTTCAAGACTACTGTGACCTGAATACAGGTTCTCTCCAAGAAGTCTCAGACAAGCTCTGTTTTCAGGCCCCATTTCCTTTTCTTTCCCTCATGTGGGATGCTACCGGGATATCTTTAAAAGCAAATTGGGGTGAAGGTTGGTGGTCATAGCTAGGTCCAAGCACACTTTCTCCCTTTTCAGGCCCTAATTAAGAGTCACATTGGTTGCCACTTAAAAAGGCAGGGTCTGTGGGAGACGGTGAGGCTTCTATTCTGGGTGCTCTGTAGGCAGTAGCTGAAGGAAGAGGGAGAGTTTTCAAAACCTGATAAGAGTAGGAACAGTGAGGTGGCCCTAAATGATGTATTAGTTCAGTTGGCTAGCTGCTATAACAAACATCTCTGATATATCAGTGGCTTAAAACAATAAAAAATGATTGCCAATTCATTTCACATTTCAACTAGGTGGTGGTGATTATTCAGGTACTCAAGCTCCTTCCAAGTCTTTATGCGGCATGTTTCACGCAGACTCCAAGGTCTCTACAGAAGGTGAAGAAAGTATGGAGACCCACAGGGGCTTTCATGGCCAGAACTGGAAGTCTTGTACATAATTTCTGCCCACATTCCACTATCACTTGATTCCAACCATATTGCGAGAATGTAATCTTGTAATCTGCAACGCAATCTGGTGTGCCTAAGAGAAAAACAGATGGTTTGATGAACACAGCATATGCTGTCTGGTTCCCACATTCCCCTCAGCTGTTCAGACTTGTCACCTTGCATCTAGGATATTTGACCTCTCTTACAAAGGAAAGAATAACCCAGCATATGAGGAATACAAGCACAATGTATTGACTAAAAGTAAAAAGTTTGTGACTTGACCAGATTTCCCACTCAGATCCTTTCAGAATCTCCCCACATGGAGGCTGGAGCCCAGCATGTCTCAGACGTGCTCACCAGCCTGCTGTGGGCATCCGGGTCTCTGCATCTTCTCCAGTTTCCTTGTTGCTTCCCTCAGTGCTTCTCCAGGGGTCTCAGCACTCTCTTTCCTGCGGGGACCTCCCTGAGAACCCCAGTGTGCCTGTCACTGGTGTCATGTCCTCCTTCTCCCAGAGCAGCCAGCCCTCGGGATGGGTACGGGTCTCACTGACTCTCCATCACATGCTGTCCTTAAGGGGACCAAGCAGACTGTTGGTGTTTCATCCACATCTGCAATTCCTATCCTTCCCACTCATCTCTTGGTGAAAACAGCTTCCTCAGCTTCTGCCTGTAGCTCCTTTATTCACAGGCCTCTGTAGGAGAGGAAAAAAACCTCTTCCCTCCACCCTCCTAGGTTCTCTGGCTGGGGCCCTGCAAATTAGAGTGACAAAAGACAGATTTACAAGAGAAAAACAGACAGAAGTCTATTAATAATTGCATCATGCATACACGTGGGAGTACTCAGTGATGGGTAACTCAAAGCACTTATTAGAACTTGGGCTTATATAACATCTCAACCAAGAAAAATAACTTTGTAAAGAAGTGAGAAGACAAAGGAAAGGGGTTTAGGCTTTTAGGGGCAACAAATTTTAGGAACGTAAATATATGGGGAACCTAATGGAAGATAAGGGCTACTTAGTAAGATGTTTCATATAGATTCCTCTGGGCAGAAGAGAATCTAGAGATGTCTCTGGAGATTAAGCATCCTCCTGCCCTCCCTACTAGAGAGGGGAAGGCCAGAGACTTTTCTTGTATTTGTTTCTTCCAAATTGCCTTCAGCACAAAATTATCCTTATGTCAAAGTGACATATTTTGGGGTGGCATACTATGAACCCTTTCAACTCAAAGCCATCCATGGGGCTGGACAGAGTCAGAAAACTCACTGTTCCCTGTCTGGCTTCCTGCATTACTACAATCACAGGCACCTACCCCTAACTTCCTTTTCCCAGGGCTCCTCTCTGCACATGTAAATTATTCCTGAGTTTTGATGCTGGTGTTGGAGCTGTCGCCATTAGCTGCACACCTGAGTCTTGATTAGGCTCAGCAGGAGACACCTGATACTTTTGTTGATTCAGTTACCTCTGGATCCTTGTATTGATGCTGTACACACTCTGATTTTAACCCCACTGAATCTGATGTGACCTGGCAGTTCTATGAAAACAGTTTTCTCATCCACTGGGAGTTTCATTAGCTCATGAAGTTTTCCCTTTATAACTGTGGTTATCACCTGGTAGTGGTGTCAGGATGGCCAAGCTTTCCTTTGTATTGAGGTCACGCCCAGGCTCACAACATGCTGTGGGCTGGGTGGGACAGTGGGTTTAGACCTATCTCCTCAAAGGCCAAACATGTGAACATTTCAAGACTCTCTCCTCTGGTCTTGATTGACTGGATCAGTGGTGGACACTTGACCCAAGTGGGGCCAATAAAGTTCTCTTTCCTGGGAGTGTTGTTTTGAATTTGAGAGATGAATTCTTTGTGTGTGATTAGAGCTGTAATATGAAACTCAGGTGCTGAGGGGTGCCATCTTCATCCATGTGATGGAGAACCAGAGAAATCTATCTGCAAGCACAGAAGAGTGAAGTAAACATGAGAGAGCAGAGGCATCTATGTGTGAGAGAGCCTGAAGTTCTGACCTCTTTGTCGTTCTTGATTTCTGCATCCCGTCTCCCACCCCCAGCTAAGACCAGGAGAAATTCCTGACAATGGTGTCCATGATTGATGCGAGTCAAAATATTCATCCACTTGCTTTTTTGTTTTTTGCTTAAGCTAGTTTGACTGGGGCTCATGTTTGGATTTGTGAGAAAATGAGCTACCAACAGTGGCTGAAAATTCTCTACAATAAATAGCAAAACCCAGCAGTTCCTGGAGAATCAGTCTCCAGCTGCCTGGTGGTGTCAGTGAACACATAAGAAAATTGCACCTGTTCAAACTGTTTGGAAAATGCTGGCAGGAAGAGTGGGTGGGTGTCTGTAACCTTGGGCCTAGCTTTGTAGGATGTCCCCCCTTCCTCAGAACATTTGCCCCACTTAAGATTTATTTCCCAAAAAGAAAGCAGCGTGGAAAGGTGGGAACATTTTCATCTTGCAGGAGAGAGAGTCCTGGAGGGGTGAGGAGGAGAGGCAATGGATCCGGGGCTTAAATCTTTGGGTGAATTGTTTGATATTAGAGCCATGCCCCCCTCCCGACTCCCCAGGGATGGGCAGTCAGTGTGGGAACACCACCCTGAGAGGTAGAGGTGCCCTCTATGTGGGCTGTCCCTCAGTGCATTTGATTGAAAAGAATGAAAACCCACTCAAGTTGACTTAGGTAAAGGGGATTTCCTGTCAGAGTACAAGAGAATTTCCTAGCAGCAAGTGCAGAAACTTAGCTAAGCCTCATGGAAACAGGAAGTGTGCAGGGAGCCATGTTTGGCTTTGTAACTGTTTTGGGCCAGGAGGGTAAATGTAGGTCCTGTCACTCTGCCTTGAGGTAGAAGATCAGATTCTGCTTCATGAAAAACCTCTTCTCTTACTTGAATTATCTTTTTTTCCAAACTTTCCAGATATATCCTCCATCCTCCTCTTTCTTGTGTCTGTAGGATAGTGGCACATCCTACCCATTCTTAGCCAGGCATGATTCATGTTAGTGCTGCCCACTCACTTGAGAAGCATCAGAGGGTATGTCCTGAACTCTCTCAGGTCACGGTAGTGTAGAGAGTTTTTAGTTATTCCCTGAAACTTCCCTGCAGAATTTTGGAAAGCTTGTCTATTTCTAGGAGGGGTTGTGAGCATTGTGGCCACCAGGAAAGGGAGTTTTGTGGTCTTAATTGGGCTCTAGACATGGCTGAGACCCTTCAAAGGAGAAAGAAGGAGGAAGAGGAGGAGAAAAGAGAGGATTAATGGGCAAGAAAGTCTAGTTGCACAGCCCAGCTTCTGGAGCAGGAGAGACCCTAGAAATTACTACAGAGAGAGGTCAGTGTCTGGATTTTTCAGCATTTCTACTGGAAAACTGGAAACTTAGAATTTTTCAGAGAAAAGTAACAAACTAGCAGAGGGAGGAATTCCTGGAAATGATGGATGGAGAGGAATCAAGAGAGGTTCCGTAAGAACTGCTCCCCCCAATCAGGTCTGCAATGAGTCCATTTTACCAATCCAACAACAAAAGAAGGTGTTCTTTACTCAGGTGCCCTGAGCAATGCTGCAGACAGAAGGAGTCATCCCCCATTTACATTCAGGAACAGAAAGGGCAGGGCTTACACTGAGTCCGTGAAGGTCAATTTGCTCTTCACTCACCACGCTCCACAACACCATGGCCACTGAAGACTCCTTTCCCAAGCCCAAGTGTGTAACGGGGCCTTGCTCCGGCCTCCTCATCTCTCCCTGATGCTCAGCTCTTCTCTGGAGCCAGGGTCTTTCCAGCACGTACCCAATGAGACAATTCAGCTGCTTGTTCATGGCTGCCCTGCTCCATGTTTTGGGAGACAAGTCCCAGTGGTTGGGTGGTGGGTGCTGTGAGCTGGAGTAGAATGCTGGGGAAGGCAGGCTTTCATAACCTGACCAGGTACCCCACTGTTCACAGAGGAACGGGTTGCTGCACACTCAGGTCCTTTGGCATCTTTCCCACTGGCACTTCTGACCTGCCCTGTGCATGTGTTACGTGTGCTCCAATGGCCAGAAAAGACGTCTCAGGCACAGAGCAGTAGGTGTTGGCTGTGAGCAGCCTTTGGGATGGAGAGGGAGTGCTAAGAGGAGGATGGGGACAGGGCACCAACAGTGTCTGCTACCCCCAGCATCTCACTCATGCAGCGACCTCTTCTCCCAAGGCTGCTGACTCCAGTCTTCTCAGTTCTGCCTTTTCCTAAGGGCCAAATAGGCTGCTCTTATTCCATCTTACCTTCTTTCCTGCAGTGGTGCAGAAAAGCACTGGCTTGAGGCTTGACAGGAAAATCTCAGAGTGAAGTGAGCAGGAGGTGGTGGAATTCTCTTTAGAAAGAAGTAGAGTGCTTATGGGATCTAATTCTGGCACACTGAATACCCACTTTTCATCCAAGTGTGCTTGACTGATATTTAAATATCTCACCTTAAGCTGCATTTCATTAGCAAAGCTGTTCAATCTCATTAAAATGTATCCAGTTCTTATGTTTGTATCTGCTCTCAGCATTTATATCTTCAGGTGAAACAGCCAATGATAATACCAACAATAATAATCATAAGTTGCATTTATCAAAAGTAGTACTTTTGGGGGCTGGCCCAGTGGCGCAAGCGGCTAAGTGCGCACGCTCCACTGCGGTGGCCCGGAGTTCACTGGTTCGGATCCCGGGCGCTCACCGACGCACTGCTTGGCAAGCCATGCTGTGGCGGCGTCCCATATAACGTGGAGGAAGATGGGCATGAGTGTTAGCCCAGGGCCAGCCTTCCTGAGCAAAAAAAAGAGGAGGATTGGCAGATGTTAGCACAGGGCAGATCTCCTCACACACACACACAAAAAAGTAGTACTT